ATTCGCAAGTGTAGGATTCTGGGGGTTTTGGAATAGGATTTTCGTCACTGTGAGGCACAGGTCTCATCGCAGATGGTATGTTTGGGTAGTTAATAACCGATTTTTTTTTCTTGGTCATACGTGTGGCTTGTCCAACACAAGGTACCATGCAAAAGTAACAATGATTAATATGATTTGTAGGCTCTCTCCAAACCATTGGGACAGCAAAGCGCATAGACCGTTTTTTGCCATTTAACCAGCTCCTCAGACTTGAAGCACATGTATTACAGCAGATGTGGGGTGCCCACTGTTTGTCTTGATCACCTAGTTTACAAACGAAATAAAGCTGATATGCCTTTGTTATTAGTGGAGTAATAGACCGTCTCTGAGACGCAAAAGTCACATCACCACACACGTAACAAAACTGATCTGGATTGTTTACACACTTTCGAGACATCTTGCATGAACGCTGTCAGCCAACTGAGGAAAAAATGGCTAATATAAAACAATATAATGTACACGTATGTATAACGTAACACAATCATGACGATTACATCATCTTTCCTTACCGAATGTAAAAATGTAGCACGTGCATTCTTGTGAATTACAGTATATTAACACTGTCACAGCAGGAACACATATAATTACCGTATCTCTAAAACTTGAACTAATATTGAAAAAATTAGTTTCATTCCGGTTTTAGCACATTAAAAATAATAATATTTTGTTGATTTTATTTAGGATATTTTTTGGCTGATGATCAGTGTAATTTTGTAGAGATTTACGAGTACTAGGAATCGGTGTGAGTGGAAGCGAAACCAATTTTTTCAAATTTAAAAGAGTTTTTTTGTCATTCTGTAAACATTGCTTCTGAATACATAGAAGTTTTTGTCAACACAACGACGGTATACAGCACTTATCAAAAAATGAAGTCAAATATGTTGTTAGTCTCAAAATATGACAACGCTATGGACCCTACATCCTGGATAGAGGATAGTTGCTATGCTTCACTTCGTTGAGACCAACCCTAGATCATGCTGATGAGTTGCCGGAAAGCACAAAACATACGTCTATGCTCTGAGAAAGGAGTTAGCTACTAACAAATGTCATCAGATTGGACTGTGCATTTGTATGCTTATGAGCATACGCATTATTATCATCATTATTATTACTATTATTATTATAATTACTATTATTATTATTCGTCTTTTGATATATATATATACTTGTGGATTTACAAAATATCCAGTTATTACTTTTAGATGTCACTTTTGCTATGGATTTGAAATTTGAGTAAGGATTTTTTTTTTTGGAATATTCAACACAAAACAATGAAATGACAGTGACGTGAGTGCCCATAAGGAAAGAAATTTTTGTAAATGCCATCGCCTAAGGGGTGAAAGTTTGCACCAATTCAAAATTGTGTATATTGTTATATTTAAACTTTGAATTGCCTACCCAATTAAATGAGTTAATCAAGTGGTTTGAGAATTCCATCCCAATTTGGTAAAGTGGGGATTCAAAGTTGCTGCTACCCCATCACCGAAGAAACCAAGAACTGAGTTTCCAAGTAATCCTAGTATACGTATATTTCCTTTATTATTGTGTGTCCCTGTCAGCAACATTAATTAAGAATTTCAACCGTAGTCATATTCGTTTTACGTTTCTGGCTTGCATAGTATTAAATTAACATAATTATTCCGGACCGAGTGATTTATCAATTTCCATGGCAGATTCTCGGGCGAGTGTGAAAATGAGGAAAAGCAGGAACCGAGATGCTTGATGTTCATTAGCAAAACGGAACGCGGAGTTACTTCTGAGCTCATCAATTCTGTATTATTATTATTAATTGGGGTAGGGAGCTTGTTGGGCTCATGTGTTGACGACGCAGGATTTATTCATACACTACGGCCATTGACAGATAAGGACACTGTCCGGACTTCAAGAGTACACTATTATTTATTTGTTTACATATATTTATAGATCTAACTCATCTTTCTTACAGATTGGTTCCCTGGCTGGTCCCATCACGGCCACTACAACCGACAGCCGAACGACGACGGACTCAGCGAGCAGGACTGCGTAGAAGTTCGTCGAGCCTATGGGCTTCCTGCCGCGGCTGCAGGACCTGCCAGGTTGGCCTCAGCCACGTTTGCTTGGAATGATAGGGACTGCTCGACACCCAACTACTTCGTTTGCGAGAGGCTGCAGAGTGACGGTGAGGACACTTTCAAAAATTAGATTTTTACCACAACAAAAGGTGGCAGATGAGATTGAGGACCAACGTTTAATGTTCTTTGGAAAACGAGAAGCCAATCACACGGCTACAGTCTCTGTGCGCGATTTATGCGGAAAAGTCGCAAAGGTCAGAAGCCGGGTTTCGGCACTGAATGTAACTCAAACGTTGAAATGATTAATTTTATTGAACTTTGCATTCAAGTATTTTAGAACATGTCTATTCAACACCTTGATCTTTTAATTTTAGTACTTATTAGTCCCTTGAAACCTCAAAGTTTGTAATTTTGGCATTCTGGTGCAAAATTCACCCATTTTCACATATTTAACTTTTGCCATTTTCATATGAACGCAATTCAGATCTGCAACAAACATACTAACACAAAAAATCTATATAAATGTATTCCTCTATTGTTGTCCAGTACAAACAGCTGCCGATATCTCGTAAAACGGGGCCATTTGTACCATAAGGGCACCATGTTGTTTGGCAAAACACTGGTTCTGGCACTTCGGATTCTTGAACAACGCAGCAGTAGTAGTCAAACATTGTGTAACACTGAACAGGTGTGTTGCGAATACAGTTTTAGATGGTTCTTCGGGTTTTCGATGTCTTTCGACGTTTTGCTGAGCGATTCACGAGGCTGACCTGTCTGGTACATCCAAGCAGCATATCATCTTGTGTCTGCCAGGCACATAGTGAAGCTGGACGTCTTCTTAGATATAATTTTAACTTTCGTTCTAAATATATTTAATCCATTGCTCCTGACATACAATTGTGTGCATTTTATATTAATCTTGTACCATGTATCCAGCGTTCACCAATGTACTAAATGTTTCCCTAAACTTAACCGTTAATAACATTTAGCGACAATCTCAAATACTATTGTAAATAATTTAAAACCATTTAGCATAATAGTTGCTATTTCTTCTCAATGTTATTTCAGCTCCTGATGAAGACGGCAAAGTCCATTGAAAGCTAGAGACTAATAAAATATAAAGAGTCCTCGTTGCTCGAATTTTGTCGAAGTACCCAACTAAAGGCGGAAGCTTTATTTTTCACATACCGTGAAATACATACTATTACTTTTTTTACTTCCCTACCGCCTTGGGGTTAACAAACATAAAGGTCAACATAACGCTCGACGTCTCTAAGGCGCCGCAATATCTAACTCCGTTGACTTTAAAAGTATCTATAAACGAAGCTTCCTGTACTTAATCCCCTTGAAGTACATATTTGCACGGCATGCGACGGCGGCATATATAAAAAGGAAGCAAAGACCGATGCAGTTTATTTTGGAGCACATTCAATCATGTTGACATTAGGTCGCGATGCAACTTACGACTTCACCTCTGAAATTGCACGCGTTCCTCAGATGGCACTGCATGCTGTGTGAGTTGGAAGCAAATCAAGCGTACAATATTGTTCGTTAAGGCGTCATTAGGAACGTTTCTATAGTACCTCGTTTTATTTACTGCTGAATTGGCGTAATCTAGAATAATCTTAAATTTGATAGTATGGCATGGAAGATGCTTTTATCTGATATGATTCCATACTTAGAGATCATGATACATTTGTAATTGTATACATTTTGAAATTCATGCATACAGTGTAGCAAATGTATACAAAAACATATAATGGTTCTGTTATGTTGCTTACATATACGCAACGCTTGTATAAGACATTTTTGAATAATTGCTTATAGATAAACAAAGTTATTGTTGTATATTAATCAAAATCATTTCTAAAATAAAATAGGTCCTGGAAATAAAATCCACCCATTTAACTAATTCAAGTTAATATTGGGTTGGTATGCTTATTCACTATTTCTTCTTACTATACCATCTAATTTGATTTGTGCTTATATTAGGCAATTAGATGTTGACAAAATAGAGCGTTGATAACCGCATCTATGGCAATACGCGAAAATATAACCCAAGCGACATGTAGCTCAATTAGGCAACCTTTTTAATAGATACAGCACAGCACCCCACACGATATTTCCTTCAGTCTTTAAACAAAACGAACCATAGTAAATTTCCTTACTCTTTAAACGCGCCTAACCATTTTTTTATAATTGCCGGTTTCCGATGATTTGAGATTTGCGAGTAACCCTAAGCTTATTTTATTGCTATTCTATAGGTTATCCTCATCACTGAATATGTTGCATCCATTGTATACATTAGTATACATTGCATACATTGTATACATTGGTATAGATTGCATACATCGTATACATTGTATACATTTTATATATTGTATACATTGTATCCATTGTATCCATTGTATACATTGTATACATTGTATACATTGTATACACTGTATACATTGTATACATTTTATACATTGTATACATTGTATACATTGTATACATTGTATACCTTGTATACATTACATACTTCCTTCCTTCAAGCAACCATTTCATTAGTTTTACACCTTGGCAAAGGCTTTCGATACATACAGCAGCATGTTATGCGTAAATCCTCTGGGTACCTGTTCCACCGCCTGACTGCCTGTAGCTCGGTGCTATGCTTGGACCGAAATCCGAACTGAACGATAGGAATCACATGGTAACCTGACGAAAAATTCTCAAGGGATATCGAACCCACTTTCTTTGGAATCATGATGATCTCATCAGTCCTGTACCCCGCAGGGAGCTCAGGGACTAGGAAGTGGTATAGTTGTTTTTCTGGACAGCAGAGGTAGGAGGCTAAAAAAAGATTTAGACCCTGCAATAGCTCTGAGGTGTGTCATAATTAAATTGTCAGCTTAGAAGAAAATATCAGAAGGGCACTGACAAAATATATTTTGTCAACAAGGTATACACATTATATTCCATCTAACATGTTCATTTCTTTATTTTCCCTACTTTGTCGCAAGGGTTGCGATTTTTGCAAGGATTATACCGCTCCTTCTTGTAGCAGGGATCCTTTTTTTTCTTCCTTTTTTGGCATCCGGTACGGCACCTGTCGTCTTCATCATCGTCCTTTTTCTTTGGAATAAACACGTATCTTTCTTTTAAAGGAATCAAAGGGTCCAATATCGAATTAAAGACATAAAGAGATTCATACCCATTATCCTGCTCTGGAATGTGTCTCGGGATATCGATGATTAAATACCTACCTAGGTATGCTTCGTTACAAGCATTTTGATACACTACGTTCTTAAGCTGCGACGAATTCATCAATGATCCTCTTTGACCAACAATTCCGGTTGACGTGAGTTTTTTGATGGGTAGGTGAGACAGATTAGATTGGATGTTCGAAGACCGATAACAGCAGCTGCTTATACGGTGAAGAATTCTTGCAGCGGTACCAAAATTATTTGATATTGACATTTTCGCATGAATTTAGAATGACAACCCAGTGACAGACATTAAAATGTGAAGAAGGAACAAAAAGAAACAAAATACCGCCGGAAACTGAAATCTAAACATATACAGGGTATCTAAGATAAATTAGGAAAAATGCTGCGTTCCTTGGGGCGTGTTCAGATGTGGTTCAGATTTTGTAAAAATTAAATGGCAAAAACAAACAGAACTTCTTTATTGGCAGTTTTTGGTGTTTTTAAATGTTGTGCTCGACGGTTCGCTTTAGAGACACCATCATCAAATTTATTTTTTATATGGTCCACAAAAAGTACAACGTGTGTCTAACAGCATTTTTTACATAATTCAAAAATGCATCAAATGTTACCTTTCTGAAGAATCATACCCTGAAGTATTAGCAGGGCATTAAGGAACACCATGTATACAGGGTGTCCGCAAAGTTGGGGTTTTCCTTTTCAGAAACAACTACCCTTGAAATAACAAAGGTAATGTGTAGTGAAACGAGGGCGACCAAGTAAAAAAAATAAAGAAAAAAGTACTCACTCTCCAGTTGACGAGAAGGGCTAAGTACGTCTCTGCCCGAAATCATACCGCTCCAACAGAAAATGAAATCAGCTGATGCGCTACCGAGCAGACGCCGGCGGTGGTGCAGACCAGTAGACCACGAACAGAGGTAACAAATATGACCATCGTGCAGAAACCACATTGATTGTCTTACACTTAATGGCACATCTTCTAACAAGGAAGTCAAAATGTTGCGTAAAAAGTGTAGGTATTGCATCCCGTCCAATCGATTTGGGAGAATAAATGGTCCAATGAGCATACCGTTCACCATTTCAGCCCAAAGATTCACCGAAAATGTTCGTTGAAAATGTGCCTGACGGACAGCGTGCGGATTCTCTACTGACCAAACATGAGTGTTGCGAAAGTTTCACCCCATTACGCGTGTACGTAGATTCGTCTGTCACCAATATGCACTTCAAAAAGTCCGGATTATTGTCATGTTGATGCAACAACCACTCACAAAACCGCACTCTTGCTGGAAAATCGTCAAGTTGAAGGGCTTGTACACGTTGGACGTGAAACGGATACAGCCCCTCTTCACGCAGCGTTTGCCACACTCTAGTTTTTGATGCTTGCACTTCTCTAGTCACGCCTCTAGTGCTTGTTGTTTTTCAAACGCAATCGATTATACGGGTTCGTTTACCTCTACACGCGTGACCGTAACCGTCGGTTGAAGGTTGCATACTGACCTGACACACTGACCCCGACCCCCGACTCAGTTGAGCTAGTGTCCTAGTACCAGTTGGGGATGTCGCGAGTCGCGGCTACAGGACGGTATTCAGATATTTTTGATGTTGCAGAGCCCTTTATCTCGGTTCCCTTAAGACATTGGTGTATATGGTACTGAGAAAAATTGCTTATGTTTTCAAGATCTACACGTCGTGTAAAGGAAAACCCCAACTTTGCGGACACCCTGTATAGTAAATAGAGACACTGTAGCACTATTTTGGTTCTTCATCCTTGTTATTTCAGATATAATACGTTAAAGAATGCTAGTATGTTCCATTTCCAGGATCACCTACACTGTATCAGGGTTACACAAATCTATGAAAATGAACCTATTTGATCTCACAGTTTCTTTCTGTTCCAGAGCCCCTGGAAGACAGCTGGCTGCCAGAATGCAACAGAACTGTGATACTATCCAGGAACCAACCGAAGGCTTCTGTGACAAGTCCGGGGTTTCCCAGACAGTATCCAGATAACGCAAACTGTGATATCGATATTATCGCCTCGGCTGGATACAAAATCATTCTGGACTTTGAAGAGCTGGTGCTTGAAGACGAACCATCGTAAGTTGAAAACATTCACCATCTTGAGTAAACCAAATGCAAATAGTGGCAATTTTCACTATAAATTTCCACAAACTCATCGACTAACACCTCATGATAATAATCATCGTCATCATTACCACTATGAGTTGTTACACTTTTTTCTGATTTCATCCTAGGTGTTTCTGAATGAAGAGGACGCTTCATCCTGCTATTTCTACATCTAATTATTTAATGCCACTAACGGTATATCGCCCTTAAAGAAGAATATTATGCAACTGAAGTGTACTTTTCATTTTCAAATCTACAGTACTTCTCTACCGATACAAATGTCGTTAACAGACACAGAAAAGACTGAAATACACAATACCTCATTTGCTTCAGTTCAATAACCTTTCTCTCCTATGCTGACAAAGGAAAAATACAAATACTGTATACAAAAATTCATGGGCTGTAAATGGACGATGTTTCTTTCTAGGAACCATTTTACAGCTTTGTACAGGGTGGCCCGCTATGGATCAACACTCCTCTAACTTTCTCATGTGACCTTATAGGAAAAACATCTATATAAGGCTGAATGAATTGCTCATGCAATGTTTTCTATTCTATTTTTCAAGGCGAACGTATTTTAGGTAGAAGTTATAGCCAGTCTTGTTTGATTCCAAATACGCTATACCTATTTTTATTACTTTAGTCAAAAGCCTAAGCATTATGGGTCATTGATTAACGTATATCAGAATTCACTGCAATTTGTGGAACTTGATATAAGCCCGGACCAGTTCGACAAAATGACACAAACAACTCAAGCTTCAGGAGTTACATTGGAGTCCTCGACTAAAGTAAACAAAAATAAGAGTAGCAAACCATTATATATTAGAACGAGAAAAAAACGACTTTGATAAAATATACAAAGTGTTTTTTTCTGAAACACTCTACACGCAGAAAGAGTTTTGAATTGAGAATATTAACTTGAACCCCAATAATTTTATATAATTCCGTTTTCTAAAGAGTCACAGAACAAGGTTATATGGCAGCCAATTTATAGAGGGACGCCCTGTACACCACACCGAGACTGTTCCCTTTTCCTACCCTGTCATCGATATTCATGCAAAAACTGCCATAAACCCAACATCGTATCCTGTTACTGAACTTCCTTCTTATATTCCTTTCCTGTGAAAATACCCACAAAGACAATTCGATCCTTCACATAAAAACTCAGAGATACATTCTGGATCATTAAGCCTAACAAGTAGGAGACAGTAGCAATCGCTATGCCTTGACAAATATAGATAAGTAGTCAGGTAGGTAGACGACGCAAAGTATCGTGGTCGTTATTTCTTTTGCCACAAGATATTCATCGTAATGAATTTGCCAGTAGTAAAAAGCTTATTGTTCGCAAGGTTCCTTTACACATGATTAAAGGACAGTCGCTTAACTGGAGCACAGCGAAGGGGAGCGACGTGTTACGTTTGACGCGTGTGAATGACAGATTTTGCTCCCTTCTATTCGTCATTGTCTATCAGAGCGGTCCGTAGGACCTTTGCTCTTGGTTGAAGTCTTGTAAGTCAGTAGGTCTGTCAGGTGTGGTTCCCCAGATACCATACAAAGTCAGGCAGAAAGAAAGGAAGAAGAAAGGAAGGAAGGAAGGAGAGTAAAGAAAAAAGAAGTGCGTCAATTTGAGGGGTGGCTTGGCATTGTTAATTAGTATCCGGCAATTTTAAATTCGTCCTAAAATTAATTTTGGGATTGGTTGTTGGAGAAAAATTATAATTTTGGTTGGACGATTTAATTTTGTTCACAGTTTGAGTCGCGGCCTTGTGTGCTTGCGAACTTGCTCGACTGTGTAGTCGACAGATTTTGGTCTGAATCTGTTCTGTCGTATATCTTCAACCAACCACATTCTACTAGAACTACATGGTATATGGTAACCATGGATTCTAGAAGTAGCAATGACTGTATCATCAGTAAAATCGCCATGGCGTCCATGTCAGGAAGAGCTCTAGCTATAAGCTACTTTCATGCTTGAGCATAAAATATAAGACTGTCCCCATCGGCCTCTACTCTACTCAAGGTGTGAAACTCTCCAAACACTATCGACTGTATTTAGGCAGCAGCGATGGCCGCAGTAGTAGACTCTTCGGTCTCCTGATCAGTCGCCGTGCGCTGTGCGGGTTCGACTCCCGTCCCAGGACAACATTGTTCTCTTGGCTCGGATGTTGGCGGCGGATCTCGTAGGCGGATCCAGAATGTGTGCATGTTGCATGCACACGTGTTCCCTCGCCAGAGTCCGTGTGGCGTTCCCCCTTTCCCCTGTATCCCCCTATAGCCCCATGGTACCAATGGGTGTTTAGGCCTTAGGAATTCGTGGTAGTTGGAGTATAAAAAAAAATCTCAGCCATATGCCTTTTATAGCAGTTCGAACGCCATTGATTCTCACTTTGTCATGGATTCTCATCCGTAACTTTTATCTTGGCAGTGGAATGTATTCTATTATACCACGATTCCCATAGTCTTCCTTTTCCTCCTATTTTTTGGGGGATGAAAGTCCATACTTTAATTGGCAGTCTATTTTCCGCCATTTTTTTTATATGACCATACCAGGATAGCTGTTTTTCTCTATTGTTTCAGTTAGTGATGTTCCTATATTCATTATTTCCTTTGTTCTTTTAATTCATATATGATTACATGAGTAAGGAGCACCTACAGCGTCTCCGCCAAAACCTCCACTCCACTGCGTTTATACGTGTTTTCGTGCTTACATCAGTGTCCTTCAGGAGCCGTATGTAATTGTACTTTCTACTAGTGTTGCAAGTAAATGTTTTTTGTTTTATTTTGTATATCTTCATTCCACAGTAGCGATTTTAACAGACATGTAATTATTCGCCCTCCACCTTTATTCCCCTATCCATCTTCCTCACCATTTCCATCTTTGGTTAATATCGGTCCCAGGTATTTGTATTTATAAGGAACTATACTAAGTGACATATAAATCCGAACACCCAGTTTAAATGGTTTTATTTTAATAAAATTTTGTATAAGTACTTAATGAAGCATAATAAGTAAATGATAAAAATTTCAAAATGATTGCACTGCTTTAAAGCCCTTTGACCTTTAATAATGTGTGAATGCACCCTGATGTGCTACGCATTCTCCATCGCGCCTAGGCATGCTTCTGATCAGGTGGTCAATGTCCTCCTGTGGTATCTCATTCCAGGCAACCACCAACTCCTCTCGAAGTGCTTCTAGAGTCTGAGGAGGACGTTGCAAATTGAG